GATTAAGAGGATTGAGATTACAGTAATAGAAGTAATTTATCATATATCATTTAAAAGAACTCCCCGAGCTTGTTTGGATGATACATTAATTGATTGTGGGGATTCTAAACAAAACAAACGGTCATAGCTAAGTTGATTTAAATCAGCTTTCAGTGAGTTTAGAGACATTCGACTCCGCTCGAAGGGCTTTTCGAAAGATATACAATTTGGCATATAAGTAATAGAATAGATGCTACAATGTGAAAAAATGAAAAATGAAAACACTCTTTAATGGATCTTTGAAAATATGTACAAATTTATTTTCCTAAATTAGCTGTGAACAATGTCAAGCTTCCAAAAAATAACATGCACTATCGGGTGGAAGTCTCCAGGGGCGGTATGCAAAAAAGGAGGTAGGGGTTAACCAACCCTCAGCTGCGGGTAGGTTAACCCAGAACCCTTATTCAAAAATGGAGGTCGGGGTAACCCGCAGCTGTGGTTAGTTACTCGGGTAATAGAACCCGCAGCTGCGGGTCAGGTTCTAACCCTTATTCAAAAATGAGGGTTGCGGGTAATAGAACCCGCAGCTGCGGGTAAGATTTTAACCCTGCTCCGATGAGGGTTAAAATCTTACCCGCATCTCTTTAAAAATTTTTTAAAAATCCAAACTCAATCGAAAAATTACAAATTAAATATTTTTAGATAGATTAGAGTATGCTCTATTTTTGACATAATTTTTAAATTTTTTTTTGAAAAATAAATTTACTATAAATTTTCGCGTAAAGTACCCCATTTTTGAGCGAAAAAGGGGCTCATTGTCTCCAATAGGCATTTTTTATTTGTTTTTTCTTGATTATTTCAATCAAGCATCTTTTAAATTTTATAAGTCTTAGGAAAATTAAGCTAAAATTCTGATTTTTACTTATAATATGTAAAACACTCTCCTCTATCTAATGAAATAAAAATTGGAGGGGCTAAGTAGATTTCTGGATTAAGCGGGATTAAGAGCGGATCTTTATCTTTTAAGCGGATTTTTATTTTTTAAATTTTAAACAAAAACATTAAACTAAATATTTGTGGATAAATCAAAATTACAAAATCGATTTTTAGTAATTTCCGCCCGTTTTTTTACCCCCGCTTGTTTACGTTCATTGACTTTGATCCTTTTGGAGCACTATTTTCTTGTTCATTAACGCATTCCGGCTCTTCTACTTCCAAAAATCTATCTGCTGGTTGTGGATTTGGAATAAGTACATGACCGGTTTTTTCCGCAACTTCTTCAATTGTTATCTCAGGAAGTTTAAGAATTTTGGCTAGGTTATGTAGAACACATGTTGTTAGAATGTGCGTTGGAACCATGTTTAACTTCGTTCGGTAACCGAATGAATTAATGAGAAATCGTCTTTTCCATTGACCGAATGTCATTTCAACTTTGACTCTTGCCCGAGAGTGGACATTGTTAAAACTAAAAATTTATATAAAATTTATAAAGTCATTTCAAAAAATTTCTACCGTTTTTCAGCATCATCTTTTGGATTTAGATATGGTGTCATAAGCCAATCACTGAAATTTTAGATTAATTTTAAAATAGACAAATAAATGTTACCGTAAGATAAATTTTTATTTTTTTAATTTTATTTTCATTGATATTATATTAGAATTTATTTTTTCAATATAAATATTTTTTATTACAATCTTGGAAATTTTACAAGTAGGGGTAAAATTATGTTATCGAATAAATATTCGACCTGTTTAGTAGAAGTTATTCCGGTTAATATAACACGCCCAGATATGTAGATAAGACATGAAGCTTCTCTTATAAACTTGTCGTCTTTCATCTTGAATCTAAGTGCTGGAAATATTGTGGGATCATAGGAAACTTTTGTTATTTTTTCAAATAATTTGTCATATTTATGTCGCTTTCTAAATTTCTGATATATCTTTAGCGGCTCGGCTCAAAACCGCTAATGTGGGGGGAAATACTCTTACTAAAATTTCCACACAAATAAAAAATTTATTTACTTTAATTAAATTTACAAGTGATTATAAAATAGCGAGCGAAAAGGTGGAAGGAAAACATTTTTTATGGAACACTGAAGTGAGAAAAAGCTGATAGGAAAGCTAGGAGTGAGTAAGGAGAGAATTGAGAAGAAGCAGTCATTAGTAGGAAATTGAAAATCATTTAAATAGAAAGGCGAAAAGAAAATACAATTTTAGATTGTTAAAGTAGATAAAAGGTCTGGGAAAAGTTTATAGCAATGAGTAATTAAATTTAAATAAAAAGTTTATTTTTGCAATCGCGTTTCAAAGACGCGACACTCCGGGCCAACAACTGGTTGGACATTAATAAATTGGAAAGGCACGAGTGGAGTTGCGGGAGTTAAGATTGGTACCCATAATGATCGAATTGAGGGGGCTCGATTAGTAATCAGATTGTGGGAGACATTTGGAGGTGGTGGCGGGGTTAGTAATGTCTGTATATAGTTGGGGTTAATATAAATCTTATTAAGGGGAGTGGGTTTCGAAAGTGTGAGTCTTTTGTGGATCCTTTTATTTCTTTTCTTCTCCCATTTTCTTATTAGACTCTTTTTTATTGCTTGTTCATGTGTCGGCAAGGCTTCGATTGTGCCAGTTTCCAATATGCGAACTCGGGATGCAATGGTGTAGTGTTGAGGGAGTTTGAAGGAAGCCAGAGAAGGGGGTTTGAATGAAGCAAGTGAAGGGAGTTTGAAGGAGGCCAGTGAAGGTGGTTTGAAGGAAGCCAATGAAGGGAGTTGTGGGCGAGTTGAGGTGGTTTCTGTTGACGGTGGTGCTGAGGATTCAGTCGTAGCAATTCCAATTGTTGGAGTTGGGTTGCATTCCATGTTGGTGTCGGTTGATTGTGGATGATTTGGCCTGTTAGCTTTTAATAAAATTTTAAATTTTTTATTATGGGGGGGTGGTTCAGAATATCGCTCGGAGCGCCCTCCGCCCCGGGATAAAGTTGGGTGGTTTTGGGCATCTATAGTGTGTTGAGTGGAAAGGACAATTTTGTCCACGTGTGGAGTAACAATAATTTTGTCGGAAATAGAGGCGGGGGATGAGTGGTGTTGTGGGGGTTCTAAAGTACTAGAAGAATTTTCTTTTACTATAAAATCGGATCCGTCATCTACGGTCCGGTGTTTGTGTGTAATTGGCGGGAGATGTGTATGGAGAGGTGGGGAATACTCCTTAACTTTTAAAAAATTTTCATCGGTAGGTGTTGGGGGAGGGTCAGTTGCAATTATACCTTCTAGTGTACAGGAATCTGGAGATGGCTCGAACGGGGTGTTTTGGACGCAGAAGTTGGTCACTGTGTTGTTTTCAATTTCATTTTCTTGTGGAGTTGTTGCTGGCTTAATGCTTAAATTTTGTACGGGAATTGGGGATGGGGTGTACATGTTGTTATAAAAATAAGGGTTAAAACCCGAATACGGTTGATATGTCAGGGAGGGGGAGGGAGGTGTGTTTGAACTGGGGAATAAAGGTGAAATTTGATTAGTGGGGATTGAAGTGTATTTGTTAGGGGTTGACGTTGATTGGCAATTACCCGAAAATTCGGGAAGGGATATTTCCGGTAAATGCCAGTGTGATTCGGTGGGTTGATTTGGATCGGGGAGAGCTGAAATTAGAATTTGTCGTGAGGAACGGAGATTTTTCAAATATTTTTTCAGTTGAAATAACGTACGTAAATAAGGAACAGTTGCGGCAAAATTTTCATATATGAGTGTATCGGCGGTCCTTTCCGCTTCGGTCATGTTGGTTCGAGCATCCATCCATTTGTCGTGTGTTGAGGAAATATCTGCAATAGGTTTTGAAACATATTCGAGCTCAATTTCTAAAGAACTCAACAATTTCCGAGTGTCGGAATGGAATTTGGATAAATTTACCTGATCGGGTGGAAGGTGGAAAGTCTTTTGATTATCAATAATCTTTAGACCTTGCTCGTGGAGGAGAGTGAGCTGGTCACGATAAGGTGTGGACATGGCGAAATATGTGAAAAATAATTAAAAAATTTTAAATGTGTTAAGAGCGGGAAGTCCGTATGCGTAAATTCCTCAGAACGCAGGCAAATTAGGAAATGGTCCGAAAAGGAAAGGAAGTCGAAAACGGTGACGAGATCACCGGCTGAGCTTTAGCGGCTCGGCTCAAAACCGCTAATGTGGGGGGAAATACTCTTACTAAAATTTCCACACAAATAAAAAATTTATTTACTTTAATTAAATTTACAAGTGATTATAAAATAGCGAGCGAAAAGGTGGAAGGAAAACATTTTTTATGGAACACTGAAGTGAGAAAAAGCTGATAGGAAAGCTAGGAGTGAGTAAGGAGAGAATTGAGAAGAAGCAGTCATTAGTAGGAAATTGAAAATCATTTAAATAGAAAGGCGAAAAGAAAATACAATTTTAGATTGTTAAAGTAGATAAAAGGTCTGGGAAAAGTTTATAGCAATGAGTAATTAAATTTAAATAAAAAGTTTATTTTTGCAATCGCGTTTCAAAGACGCGACATATCAATTCAATGGCAACTCGGTTCATACTTCGATATGAGCTGACAATATTTGTAACTTTAAGGCTTATGATTCCAAGTTTTGAAAATTTTTGTATATTTGCTTCTTTTATCGAAAATTCTATTCTTTTTAACACTATTAAAGCCATTCTTCTAGCTAACTTTACGTTGGGAACACCTGTTAGCACCACTTTACTAGATTGAAAAATTAATGCTGCTGTTGTCCTGTTATGTTTATGTCGAATACGCATTATTATTGAGTGGAATCGTTTAGGATTATATTCAGTATTTATGCCGTTTCTAGCCATTTTGAGAAAATTTTCTGATGAAAATCTTTGAATACCAGGTAAAAGTTTAAAAACACATGTACAATTTTCGATATTCATATTTACTTTCTGAAATAAAAATAAAAAAAGAATTATAATAAAAATACAAGATAAATAAATAAAATATAATTTATATTAAAAATATAATTTATATTAAAAATATTATTATTAGCATTTTTTCATCTGTTTACTTTTCTTAGAAACACAAATAACTTCGAGCGGGTAGTAAGAACGATGATGTCCTCCTCCAAATTCAATTAAGCATGGCAAGTATGGGTGGCGTAATTTGATGCCATGTTTTACATAGTAGTACCCACGTACCTCAATTTACATTTTATTATTTTTTAAATTTTTAAACTATTACCGTTATATTCAAATATCCGCCCATAGCAGGAACAATACTTGCTGGGTGGACAGTAAAATCGTTGCACCGAATAACAAAATTTTTATAAAAAAGCAAATGGGATGTACGTAGTTGAACTTGATTTTGTAAGTGTAAAATTATTTCTCGGCGTTTTTCGATGTTATAGAATAGTACATGAAGCTCTTTGAATGCACAGTTGTGTAGTTGACATAGATAATCAATCAAAGGCACTGAGCGACGTTTCAAAATTGATAATGGTAACGGGTTTTCTATTTCAACTGGTTCTGGCTCGATAAAAGGGTTTTCATCCTTCTTAACGTCTTTTTCCTTTTCTTCCTTTTTTTCTGATAAATTTGTTGGATCAATACTTTCTTTTTCATTTTCTTCATCGCTTTCTAGTACTATCTCTAGTATTTTTTCGTCGTTAGATTTCAAAACATCCTCCTTGTTTTTATCTTCACCAATTTCATTAACCAGAGAGGTTAATCCAAGCGAGGTGACCAAGAGATCAATTTCATTCTAAATAGAAAGTAAAGTTAGACAAAGAAAAAATTAATTACATTTTCCATTTCCCTATTTTTTGAAGTATGTTCATACGATTCTGTTTCTTGTTGCTGTGATTCACGTTGTTGTAGTTCCTTCTCCTGTTGTTCGCGTATTTGCTTTTCTTCCTGGGTTTCGAATACACCCCAATGGCCGAATGTGTTGAAGGAATTAAAATTCATTTTTTTGTAAAAAAAGTATAAAAGAAAATGTAATAATAATATATATAATAAAGAATATTAGAATCTAAATTTTTTAATTTACTATAGCAAATAAAATGGAAGGATTCGAAAAAATTGATTATTTACATACACGATTCAAGCACCCTTTTACAATGATAGTTTCAGGGAGTACTGGGTCTGGTAAATCAGAATGGGTTAAAAAATTTTTAGACAATTTAACAGAGTTGATTAATTCTGATACAGATATTTCGTTTGTTTTCTATTGTTATGGGGAATTAAATAAAAATATTTTACTAATGCAAAGAAAAGGATATGTTGATAAAGGAAAAACACGGGTCATTGTTCATAATGGGGTGCCAAATGTGGGAGAGGACTTTATTCATAAGCAAGCAATTCAATCAGAGGGTTCTATGCTATTGGTACTAGATGATTTAATGGTTGGGATAGATCAGCGTCTTATTGAAACAATATTTACAAGGGGGTCTCATAATTGGAAGATGAGTTAATTCTAATTAGTCAGCACTTATTTTCGAAAGAACTTAAAATTCCTCGTAATAATTCTCACTATTTATTATTAATGAGAAACCCCGCGGGAGCGTTACAAATTAGAACACTTGCCATGCAAATTTTCCCTTCACGCTCAAAATATTTTTTAGAAGCTTATGGGGATGCAACTAAAGAGAACTTTGGTTATCTGTTGGTTGATATTCATCCAAGCACTCCCGAAGTCCTTCGACTGAGAACACATATATATCCAAACGAAAATACAATTATTTATCTTCCAAAATGAAAAATAAAATTTTTCCAACTAGTTTTTTAATCGAAAAAAACGCAATCTTTCTAAATAATTTAATGAGTTGCGCAAAATCAAAAAATGCAATTAATAAAATTATTTCAAACGCTTCTGACGAACAATTACTATGTTTAGTCGAAATTTGCTTGAATTTGTTAAAAGGGAGGCTTCCGTTTCATAAAAACAGAATACAAAATCTACAAAACCAGGCATCATTATTACGTAAAATTAGTCGCTCGCGAAGCGCTTCTTCGGCTAAGCGCCTGCTACTCTGCGATAAAATTCAAAATGGTCGTGGTTTCCCACCAGTGGCGGGTCTCCTTGCTAGTCTTATTGTTCCCTTAATCGCAGAGAATTTTGTTAAATAAAAATATAAATAAATAAGACATTTTTCTAATTTAATTAATTTCAAAAATGCGTCACGCATCTCGAATGCTTTTAATACCAGAAGATTTTTTTCAAAGTTTAATTGGTTCAGAAAGACTTGAGGAAAAGACTAATAGTAGTAGTGGTAATGATGGAACATCACTTGGTTTAATTCGCGAACGCCTACAAAATGCTAGAGATAATTCTAAATTAGATCCTGATACACAAGCTATTAATTATGAACAGGACTTCAAAAGATATAATAAACTTGTTAGAGAAAAAGAAGAAAAACCTATTGATGTTAAACTTAAGAATATTGGAGAAATTTCTGAGAAAATATTAAATAATTATAATGAAAAAGTTTTAAAACCGCCACAAAATATTAATGTTAACAGGTTAAAGAAAACAGTCCAAATTAAAAATTTGAATAGAAAATCTATTGCAAAGGTTGGTAAAAAACCTTCCAAGCCTTTTGTCGATAAAAACATTAAAGTTGACGAGCCTGAATTTTTCTCAGCGGACGATGAGGAAGGTAAAAATGCATATGAATTAGATTTAAGCGAAAAGGCTCTTAAATATATTAAAGAAAACTCTGAATCATTAGGTATAACACCTGACTTAAGACTGGCAAGGAAATTAGGAGGTAATTATCCATTTATTACAAGTAATGTTGAAGAAATTATAAATTATATAATTAAAAATAATGGGGATCGAATAAAGCCATTACCCACAGGTTACGACGAATTTATTCGTAGAATTGATAAACATACATTTTTAAAAAACTTACTATTTCCTCCAGGTACGTCTTCAGCTCAAACTGGTAGCGGAGTTTTTTCATTTAAACCTGTGCTATGGAAAAATTATCGATAAAACAAATAAGCATTTTGGATCGTTTATATAAAGATATAAATTCATCAACATGTTTTACGTCTCTTGAACCCCTCCTTAGGGAAGCAAGACGTGTAGACAAAAGTATTACTCGTGATGCTGTCAAGAAATATCTTTCGACTCAGAATACTTACACTTTGCATAGGCGCGCAGTTAGGAAATATAAACGGATGCGCACCCTCGCAGCTGGCTTACATACCGAATGGCAAGCTGATTTGAGTATTTTTGATCGTTTAAGCAGTCAGAATAAAGGCTTTAAATATCTTCTCGTCTGCATTGACACGCTTAGCAGAATGATATTTGTTGAGCCCGTTAAAAGTAAACATAGCGACAAAATGATTGAAGCCTTTAAACGATTATTTTCAAGAATAAAAATTGTTCCCTGGAAATTACTTACAGACCAGGGACTAGAGTTTACAGCAAAAGAAGTCCAAAAATATTTTAAATCTATAGATATGGAACATTTTTCCATGGTCACATCCCCTCAATGGCACGCTGGCATGGCAGAAAGAGCTAATCGTAGCATAAAAGAAAGACTTTATCGTTATTTTACTGAAAAACGAACATTAAAATGGGTAGACGTTGTTCAAGATATTGTTAGCGCAATAAATAATTCTTTTAATTCGAGTATTGGCATGCGACCTATTGATGTTACCTATAAAAACGCAGAAGGTTTAAGACTAAAATTAAAAGAGCAAGCGCGAGAGGAAGTTGCTCCAAAACGTTGGAAGCATACTGATTTTTCAGTTGGCGATAAAGTTAGGATAGAAAAATATAAACATGTATTTCAAAAGGGATACTTGCCAAATTTTACAGATGAGATTTTTATTATTAAACAGGTGCGGCTAGTTCCACACCAGCGCCCTACTTACAGACTATCCGATAACAAAGGCGAATTAATTAGAGGTTGGTTTTATGCAAATGATTTGTGTTTAGTTAGAGAACGTAAAAAGGAAGATGTACTTTATGATATAGAAAAGGTTTTGAAAAAGAGAAAATTTAATGGGGAAAATCAATACTTTGTAAAATGGAAAGGGTATGGTACGAGATTCAATAGCTGGATTCCCGCAAGTGCGGTTAATTGGAGATAATATATAAATACTAAGTAAATATAAAAATTTTATATTTAAAATGACTTCATTTTATATCGTTCTTCCTTCTAACACTAATGTTGAGGGTAATAAGACAAATTCATTCAGAGTTCGCTTACCCCAGATATTACAATTTAATTCTGAATGGACCGTAGGTTTGGCTGTAATGGTTTATCCTTATTCATGGCCATCTCTTGGCACTACATCGGAACAATTTTTTACTGTGACGTGGCAAACTAATGAGAGCGTCCGCTTAAATGTATCATCTTCCAGCTTTTTGAATCCTCAGCAACTGAAAGAAAATTTAAATAGATCCCTTGATGAAGGTTGTAGAGACTTATCGACTAAAATGAAAGCAATACATGTTGAATATATTAATAAACTAAAAGAACTTAAAAATCAAGCTAAGCAAGAGTATAAACGACTTAGCGAATTAAAAAAGAATGAAAATACGACCAAACCAGAACATTCGGTTGATTCTATTCCCTTAAAGACTGAATCTGAAATTTATTCAGATTTAGTAACAAAGATGAATGAAAATGAAGATAGTGTAATAAAATTTTTATTAACTAGTGGAAGCGATTTTGAGTCTTGGGAACATGCTTATCTCAAGCCAGTTTCTGTGTGTAACTTTGAATTTTACGAAAAGAAAAATCGTTTCTCCTTGTTTTTAAATAACAGCTTTATAAAGAGTGTAACAATGACAGAGCAACTAGCTTATATTTTAGGATTTGATAAGCTTGAAATGTTTGAGACATCTATTGCAAAATTTATGCCTGATATGAAAGGTGGCGTGTCTTCTTTTCACGTATATGCTCCCGGGTTAATTGAACCGATGATAATTGGTGATGTGACCGCTCCTGTACTAAGAATAGTAAATATTAGAGGAAAGCAAGATGAAATTATTGAAGAACAATTTCTCTTTGTTCAATATCACAAATTGTTAATAAAAGAGATTAATGAAATTTTTATTGAAATCAGGACTTCTAGCGGAACATTAATGCCCTTCCAGTACGGAACATGTACATTGACTTTGCACTTTAAGAAGTCAACATATTTTTAGAATATTATGAATACTCTTCAGATAAATAAAATTTTACATAGAAATAATATTACAAAAGATTTTTATATTGGATGTTTTGCAGCCGATACAATTCCGGTTTCAATTAATTTTACACCCTTTTGCATGGTTGTGAATATAGATCCCTGTAGTGCAGCTGGTAGCCACTGGGTCGCAATATTTTGTGAATATCCTTCTACTATAGATTATTATGATTCTTTAGGTATATGGCCTCCAATCAGTCCTCATATAAAAAATTATCTGAGTAAATTTCAACGTGTTCGTTTCAATCCCGTTCAGGTACAAAACTCATTGAAACCTACTTGTGGGAAACATGTAATATTTTTCCTGTTTCAAAGATGTATTGGATTCTCTATGAATAAAATAATTCAATTTTTAAACAGAGTAAAAGCTGATAATTTCGTTTCTGAATTTATGAAAAATAAAATATTTAGTATAAATAGTTGAGAATAATTTAGATTTTTTTTAATTTAAAAAATGCATATTGACTTTGATCCCGCACATATCGATTGGTCAACTCTTACCGAGCAATCGATTGATACTAATTTTCAATGGGGAGGTTATAATGTTTTCCGCGGTATTCCATATCAAAGAGGAAATGGCTTAGGTTCGATCCTTAGAAGCTTCATGCGATATCTTATACCTTTTGGTAAGCAAATTGGTAGTACTCTAGCTAGGCAAGGCTTAGAATCTAGCAATCGGGTTTTAAGTAATGTTATAGAAGGAAAAAATCTTAAAGAATCACTTGTCGACGAGGGAAAAGCTGGATTAAAAAATTTGC